GGGTTACGATATCTTATAAAGAAACAATGAATACTTGTTTTTGTACTTGAGAGTGGAAACTTACAGGAATGTGAAGAAGGGATGGTTTCGGTAATTAATCTTAACCTAATCTCACAGAAACTGCTCACAAGCAGTTTCTTTGGCAGCTAGACTAACCTTATCTTACAAAATGGCCTTGAGAGCAGCTTCCATCCGCCTGCTCATCCTGTACCTGTAGGAAACACATTTTGAACTAAACATCTGTAACGTACTCAAAACTTTATTTGATACACACACAATGAACTTTAATGAAATGTAATAAAGAAAAACCTTTTCAAGGGTCCAGCTGATAAAACCGTAAACAAATTATTTAATAGGTTTATATAAACAAAGCAGAAGAATCAAACTGACTTCACCTCCATCATCCGTCGAGCAGGGGACACTTGGACAGGTTTACAGTCCATCAGTCAGACCTGGTTACTGAGCTTCTGTTCCTCCTCCAGGAGAGATTCCAGGTGAAGAATCCTCCGTCGGCTTATCTGGATAAACTGAAGAGCTTTCTGGATCATGGAGGAAACAGCCGAAAGGTAAAACACAAAAAAACTTGATGTCTCAGTTTGAAGAGTTGTTTCTGTTGGCTGTTAGCAACAATTCATTTCAACAGCTCTTCGCTAAATGCTAATTAGCATCCTTTAGCTAAATAGTATAAGCTGCTAATGCCAATGAACCAGAACATTTTGAAGCAAAAAAACGTAAATAACATAAATATCTTTAAAATTAAAGCTATTTTTTAAATAATATCAATCATAAATTGAATTCAAATTAGCTTTGCTTTATCCTCCTGAGACCCATCAATTCATTTTTGTCAATTCGATTCAATTCAATTTTTTTATTCATTTCATTAAAAAATAACTATATACAATAGAAAACCAAGAAAAAACACAAATCAAAATAAAATGAAAGTATGAGGCATGAAGCCACTAAGGTTAATTTTAGAGAAAATGACATGGGCTACGATAAAGTAGACCAGACACCGGCGGTAGCAGATTGTTGAATTCCAACGTATATAGCACTGGTAACCCACTAGGGGGCACTGTCGGGACAGTCTGAAGCCATTCTATGGGACTGATAACCGCTATTAACGTCCATTTAATGGACTGATAACATCTGAACCGGCTGTGGAATTTATTGGTAATAGTAAGTGCAAAGAAAACATGCCAACTTTTAAAAATTTGTAACACAGACACAATAACGTTACATGTAGTTACACATATTGCATTATGTTAAATTATACTGCTCCTTTTTCATCAACATAGTTTTAGCCCTGTTGTAGATGAGAATGCCTTGCAGGAAAGCACTGAGCACAATCACCAAGGTTGGAGCCAACTTGTTACTTTAAACACATAGATAACAACATGTAATTAGTTACAGAAGCACTTCTTAATGCAATTTCCTCAACTATTTTGTCTCTATGAATTTTCAAAAGTATAAATCTGTTTTAAGTATTTATAAAACAAAAAGAAATGGAATTTATAAGTTTTAAATGTTCATTAAGTAAACGACATCCCAAAAAAAAAAAGTTCAACATTTTCAAAGTCTCTAACTTTCTCCTCATTTTCTCAGTTTAAGAGACGTGTTCACGAGTCCACGCAGGTCCTCAGAGAGCTGGAGATTTCCCTCAGAACCAACCACATCGGGTCAGTACCATGTCTGTATGGTGGTTCATGAGATATTTTGCTAACAGACAAGCATTATTAACTGTTTTTATTCCTGCAGCTGGGCTCAGGAGTTCCTGAACGAGGACAACCAGGGTTTAAACGTTCTGGTGGATTATCTGTCCGTTGCTCAGAGTGCCGTCTCGTACGTGTCTGTTCCAAATATCAGTTTGTCCCTTTGTCTCAAAAACCTGTTTGATAACGGTCTGTCCTGGACATGGTCTACAGGTCTGAGACAGAGACCTGGGACAACGGGACGCTGCCCTCAGACAAAAACAAGTCTTTAGAAAAGTCTGTGGAAGACGTGTCCAGAAGTGCCAGCAACTCCCCCACATCCAGAGGGGCATTGAGCAAAGGCTTCACCCTCAGGTCAGAGTTCAACCGTCTGTCTGAAAAACATAAAACAGTCAGACCCGTCGTCACGTCTCCAGATTGTTTACTGAAGTCTGAACTGTTCACAACATGAACATCAGGTTTCAAACATCTCTGAGCTCAGGTGTTTAAAGTTTACAGGTGAACAGTGGGAGGTTGTAACTTAACATACATTTGATCTGAATAATGGCTAATGCTAGGTCTGCTAATGCTAGGTCTGCTAATGCCTTTTTACTAATGCTAGGTCTACAAATGCTCATTATACTTGTGGTATTGCTAGTAATGCTAATGCTATGTCTACATTGCTAATTCTGCTAATTTGAAATCTACTGTTGGTTATGCTAATGCTAATGTTGCGTCACATATTTATTAAATCTAATTAGCGGTCCATTTTAGGCTAAAACTGCTACTGCTAATGCTAAAACTGTTCCAGGTTCTGAAAAGTTCTTGTTAAATATGTCGTAGTGCTAACGCTACTTCTGCTGATGTTAATTTCAACAAAGCCTTTTGTTACTGCGAACATTAAGCTAGATTTTTGCTAACTTTTAGCTAGCCGTTTTCTATCTTTTTAACTTTCAACTAGTATCTAAATACTAATCTCAGCTGGCTTTTTTAGTTTTGGTTTTTGACAGCATTGGCGAACTTTTAGCTTTCAGCTTCTCAAAGTTCAGTTTGTATTTCCATACCTTCTCGTTAGCTGTCACTGAACTGATTGTGTTTGAATGTTTTGGCGCAGGAGAGGTCAGAGGAGCTCTCAGAGTCAGAAAGACGACGTTCATCTCTGCATCATGTGTTTACGAGCCATCATGAACTACAGGGTAACGACGACCTTCGACCCAACTCAGAGAAAATAAATGAAAATAAAACAAAGCTTCATGTTTTCTTACTTTTAAACTGTTTTAATCGTGACGCAAACAAACAACTTTAAACAGGAATCATATTTCAAACAGCTGCTTAAATGTTTGTTTTTCTTTAGTCGGGGTTCAACCTGGTGATGAAACATCCAAACTGTGTCAACGAGATCAGCCTGAGTCTGAACGACCGGAACCCCAGGTGAACCCGTCCAGAACCTGAACTGGACCAAGATCATTCCTTTAAATAAAACATTTAAGTTGCGTCAAGTAGAATCGGTTTATTTGTTGTCCTCAGGACCAAAGCTCTGGTTCTGGAGCTGCTGGCGGCCGTGTGTTTGGTGAGAGGGGGCCATGACATCATCCTCGCCGCTTTCGACAACTTCAAAGAGGTCAGGTTGGTCGCCGCGGTACCAGGATGAACTTATTGCAGGAAACTTTAGGAGTTTCTGGTTCGTCGGTGTGAATTTGCTGCATGCATGACCTTTGACCTCTGAACTGTTTCCTGGTGTGGCTCAAACAGTTGTAGAAAGACGTTGGTAAAAACCCTCAGTGTCAGTTTGTTCAGATATTTAGCAGCAGAAACTGCAGCTCCAGGACCTCAGAGTTGTTTTGGTGCAGGTGTGTGTTTATGTGTGAAGCTGGTTTGCTGCATTATTTAGTGGTCTTTAGAGGCAGGGAGTCAGTGTGGCTCCATCATCAGGTTAACTTTCAGATCTTATAATTCACTTGTAAATAAAATGTTTCTGTGCAGCTATATATTCGTAAACCCCTCCATCAAACTGGAATGAACCGGTCAGGGTTTAAAGAGACAGCCTCAAAACGAGTTGATCCGAGACACACCTCGCAAAAGGGGCGGAGCTTGTGGCGTTACAATAAGAAGGAACTCAGTTCCACTTTATATAGACCCCAACTGCCTGTGACATCAATTTTTTTGTAATAAATATGAATGTATTTTTGGAAAGATAACACTGGTAACATATTGTAAAAAAGATTTCACGCCGCTGAGATGAACAGCTGTTGGGATATTCACATGTGAAGTAACAGGAAGTGATGTCACAGGGTAATGTCTGCATGTGGACAGAGCAGTGCTAATATGGCAAACAACACAGACTGTAGAGAAGAATCTGATGCTTCTTTAGATTATTTTAATCTCTATCAGAGATGAAGAGTCAGAGTTCAAATAATATTGTTTCAATTTCTTTCTCAAAGAGTTCTCCTTTGATGTCACTTCCTGTTTCACTTTAGTTGAGCCAATTTCAAAATAAAATATGCCATTTATGCGACATAACGTGTAAAATCATGTGTATTATTATGCACGTCACAGGCTCTGTAAAGTTCTGATCCGATCCTCGTCCTGCAGGTTTGTGGGGAGAGACGTCGCTTCGAGAAGCTGATGGAGTATTTTCAGAACGAAGACGACAACATCGACTTCATGGTGAAGCTGCTGAAATCAAAAACTGATGAACTTGATCAGATGAATCAAACTGATGAAGCGGTTTCTCCTCCTCAGGTGGCCTGTATGCAGTTCATCAACATCGTGGTGCACTCGGTGGAAGACATGAACTTCAGAGTCCACCTTCAGTACGAGTTCACCCAACACGGTCTGGACCAGTACCTGGAGGTGAGCCTGACCTTTGACCCTGCAGGTCTGGATCCTCAGACTGAAGCTTCGGTTCTGTTCCAGAGGTTAAAGTTCACGGAGAGCGACCAGCTGCTGGTCCAGATCCAGGCCTATCTGGACAACCTGTTTGATGTGGGGGGTCTGCTGGAGGACGTGGAGTCCAAAGCCAACCTGGTGGAGCACCTGGAGGAGCTGCAGGAGCAGAACTCGCAGCTCAGCTCCAGGCTGCAGGAGGTGGAGAAGGAGGCGATGGAGAAGGTCTCTGAGCTCCAGAAGAAACTCCTTCAGACCAACAAGGAGGTGGAGCTCCTGAAGGTGCAGCACCTGTTTGCTCCTTTAGTTCTGGTTGTTGTGGTCCTGAGCCCGCCTCCATTGATCCTCTGTGTCGCAGGAGAACCTCCAGGAGTCCGCGTCCCGGCTGCAGAACCAAAACCTGGACCCAATGGAGCTGGGGTCTCTGGAGGCCCTGAAGGAGCTGCAGCATGGGGTTCAGGTTCTGATGGAGCAGGGTCTCCTCCGAGTGCAGCGGTCCCCCTCCGGGCAGCTGGAGGTCCAAATGATCCACCAGGAGAGCCTGAGAGGTCCGGATCAGGTTCTATACTAAAACCTGATGGTTGTTGAGCTTCTTGGACTAAAACCTCCTCGTTTCAGGTGACAAAGATGACGCTCCTCCCTCCTCTTCCTCACAGCCTTCATCTGAAGCTCCTTCAAACTCAGAGATGCYACAAATCCCTCCTCCTCCTCCTCCTCTTCCTCCTTTAGCTCCGCCTCCTCCGCAGCTTCCAGGAAGTGATGCGACGCAGCCAATGGACAGAACAGGTCGGTCGGTTTAACGGGTCAGAAACTAAAGATCTGTTTACAAACATCCTTCAAAGACCCAGTGAGTGTTTGTTGTTGTTGTTTACTTTCAGGCTGTAAACAAAAGAAACCCATCCAGACCAAATACCGGCTGCCGCTGCTGAACTGGGAGGTTCTGAAACCGGACCAGGTGTCGGGGACCGTCTTCAGCGAGCTGAACGACGAGCTGGTCCTGCAGGTTGGGTCAGCACAAAGTGGACTGGTTTATGGGGTGCCGTTTGTAAAGTTACACAGTCAAAAATTACCACCAATATTTTTGTTTTATTTAACCTTTTATAAGAAAAAAAGAACAGGTTTATTTTTCAAAGTCAGTTTTTCACCATATGATGCATACATACATTTATAAAAGTCAGTTTATAAACAATATTTAACTTACAAAATATTTAGTTAACAAGTTAAATATTTAACTTGTGACTTAAATATTTAGTTTTGAGCTAAATATTTAGGTTGCAACTTAAATATTTAAGTTAAATATTTAGGAAGCTAGCCAAATATTTAAGTTGAAAGCTAAATATTTAGCTCAAAACTAAATATTTAAGTCACAAGTTAAATATTTAACTTGTTAACTAAATATTTTGTAAGTTAAATATTGTTTATAAACTGACTTTTATACATGTATGAATCATATGGTGAAAAACTGACTTTGAAAAATAAACCTGTTCTTTTTTTTTCTTATAAAAGGTTAAATAAAACAAAAATATTGTTGGTAATTTTTGACTGTAACTTTACAAACGGCACCCAATAACTGTTCTGATGAAACTGTTTGTTTATTTAGCTCCAATTTAAAACAAAACAGAACCAGGCTCAGGATGTGCAGCTGAGGACAGCAGAGACAGAAAGACCCCAGGTCCAAATGGGGCCTGGACCACCAACCTGTGGTACCAACAAACAACATGATTGAATTTAGATTTATTTCTTCCTCTTCCTGTTTCAGGAGCTGAACATGGACGTGTTCGAGGAGCAGTTCAAAACCAAGGCCCAGTCCCCCCCTGTGGATCCAGGGACGCTGAAGAGGAAAATGACCCCCAAGTCTCCCAGTAAAGTGTCTCTACTGGAGCCCAACCGGGCCAAGAACCTGGCCATCACTCTGAGGAAAGAGGGAACGTCGGCGTCGGACATCTGCAGCGCCATCGAGAGGTAGGTTTGAAGCTCCGCCTCCTGCAGCCGAACGAGGCGACGCTAACCTCAGACCTCTGCTTCAGCTACAACCAGGAGGCTCTGAGTCTGGACTTCCTGGAGCTCCTGCAGCGCTTCGTCCCCACCGAGCATGAGATGAAACTCATCCAGAACTTCCTGGCCCAGGGCCAGACCCTGGACCAGCTGAGCGAGGAGGAGCGCTTCATGGTCCGCTTCGGTCAAATCCCCGGAGTCTCCGACAGGATCAGGACCCTCACCTTCATGGGGAACTTCCCTCAGACGGTTCAGATCATCCGGCCGGTGAGTCCGGGTCAAACCGGGCCTCGTGGAGTCACTTTGATCTAGAATTAAAGCAGAATCTCTTCCAGCAACTGAACGCCGTCATCGCCGCGTCCGTGTCCATCAGGTCCTCCCAGAAACTGAAGAAAGTCCTGGAGGTGAGCCAGACCTGACTCAAACACCTGATTGTTACAACTTTATTTACAATTTAAAACGTTTACTTCCTGTTTCCTGTCTGAACCACAGCTCATCCTGGCGTTTGGGAACTACATGAATAGCAGCAAGCGCGGCTCGGCGTTCGGCTTCCGCCTGCAGAGTTTAGACGTGGTGAGAGTCGGATCCTTTCCTCTAAAGAGTTCATTTCTGCAGACGTTTGGGTTGACGGTTCGATTCTCTCCTGCTCTCTGACTCGACTTGGAAGCTGCTGGACACCAAGTCGACAGACCGCAGGCAGACGCTGCTGCACTTCATCGTCAGAACCATCCGGGACAGGTACCCGGAGCTGCAGACCTTCTACAGCGAGCTGAACTTCCTGGACAAGGCCGCGCTCGGTAAACCTCTGACATCACACGGGCTCGACCAATCAGAGGAGAGCCGCTTTAAACAGATCAAAGATGAGTTCAACACAAAGATAAAGTGTTTAGTTGTGTCAAACTAACGTTGGACTGTCCACAGTCTGGTTGGACAGCGTCCTCCAGGACCTGCACGCTCTGCAGGAAGGCATGGAGGCGATGAAGACTCGGGTGTCTGCAGATGAAGGTCGTCCCGTCCTGCAGGACTTCCTCAGCAGAAACTCACAGCTGCTCGACGCTCTGATCGCCGATGGAAGAACCGCTCAGGTGTGACGGAGTTAACCTGGTTAACTAAACCCACACGGACCGGTTCTGGTTCTGAAGCAGGTTTTTGTCTCACAGGAAGTCTACGAGTCGACCGTGAAGTACTTTGGAGAGGACCCTAAAACCAGCCCCCCCTCCATGTTCTTCCCCGTCTTCGTTCGATTCGTCAAAGCCTTTAAGGTCAGAGGTTCTACAGAACCAGACGGGTTTAAAGTTCTGCTGCTGAGTCCGGTTTCTGTTTGTTCCAACAGGAAGCTGAGCGGGACAACAAACACGTCCGGGTCTCTGAAGGTCCACCCAGACCGGAGGTCACAGGAAGCCAGGTCTGTTAGCAAAAACATCTGATTCCACACAGGAGACGGATCTCAGGATTTATTAGTTTTTCTGTCGGTTCAGGTTCTGTTGAAGTCCAGACCGCCTCAGATGGATCTGATCGCGGAGCTGAAGAGGAGACAGGTGTCCTCTCAGGTGAGGGAGGAGAAGGACGGAGCCATCGAGGACATCATCACAGGTGAGGATGGAGGGACGAGATCAGGTCACCAAACCCTTTGATTCAGCTCTACAAGCTGAGAGGAAAAACACGGTGGAATCAAACCCACAACCCCTTAAATCTGTACGTCTTTATTTCTACCCGTCTCTCCTCAGATTTGAGGAACCAGCCCTACAGACGGACCGACGGCGTCCGGCTCAGCTCCAGGTGGAAGCAGGGACAGAAGCTGCAGGTTTCCTCCGACATCTCCCTCTGAGCGAGCAGCAGCTTCCGGTTCTGACCGGAAAATGTTTTATTCATCAGATATTTATTCTTCTTGCACTTTTTAAAACACTGACGATTCTTAAATAAAAAACATTTTGTACCGCGGCGGCTTCTGAGTCTTAAACTAAAGGACGTCATCATGATGGGGGCGGAGCTATCATTTCATTACAAATTAAAGGACTTAAAGACTTAGTTTTGAAGTTGCCATGATGAACAGTCAACTTGAAAAAATTAACCATTTAATTTCCATTTTGAGCTTTTAATCCAAACACTCAACTTCCTGTTTCTGACCAATCAGAGAACCTTCAGATGGTAAATTGTTCTTCAGCAACACAAAATATTAACCTCTGAATAAAAACTCATTGGTTTATTATTTTTTTACAGATTTCTAAAAAAAATGTAAAAAGTTGGTCTTGTTTTTGAACTCGAGGCGCTTCAGTTTGTTTGTTTTTAATCTTACCTCAAACGTCCAAACGGGCCTCATCAGAACCTCCAGGTGATCCGCCAACACAGTTCAGGTCCTGGAGCCAATGATCAGTTTCTCTGAAGACTGAAGTAAAAATCGTTCGTTTTTATTGAACTCAAACCAACAAACTTTAAATCTTTTTTTAAAACTTACATGTCTGGTCCTGAGACCCCGATCCACTGTCTGGTGTTCTACATGTGGACCTGATCAGAGTCCCAGGCCACAGTGAAACCGGTTGTAGGCCACCACGGCCTGAAAGGACCAAGACGCTCCACAAATGAAACAAATGTCTTCTGAAGGCAAGTTTGGACGAGTCGAGGTCAGACTGAACCAGCTGTCAGGCACGGTGGTGGCAGCATCATGATGTGGACCTTAAACCTGGACACAACTGGGTCCAACGGGACCATGATTCCAGACATCAGAACTGGTTCCTGATTGGATAAATCAGGCTAACCATCTTCTCAAAGCTCCGCCCCTAACCTGGCCTGGCTGGAAAACTGATTCACAGTTTACCTGAACTCCATTAAACCGACAAACTGTCCAACATCAGACAGAAATTTGTTGGAGACAAAAAGGTCCAGGTGGGACGCACCGAGGGACATAAAACCAGTGGGGTGGACAGAGAGGTTTGGACCTTTAGAGAAAATCCAGACGATAACCTCTGCAACAAATTAATCTGACCTGACGGCACGGTGGAGCAGCGGTTAGTCACATCTGAGCCACCTCCAACTGCGCACCTGTGCGTTTTCTCTAGTTTCCCTCCACAGACCAGTCTAAGTCTTGGACCTGTCCAGGTGTCTCTGTGCTAGACCACGGATCTGCCCAGGTGTCTCTGTGCTGGACCACGGATCTGCCCAGGTGTCTCAGACCTGTCCAGGTGTCTCTGTGCTGTACCTCAGACCTGTCCAGGTGTCTCTGTGCTGGACCACAGATCTGTCCAGGTGTCTCTGTGCTGGACCATGGATCTGTCCAGGTGTCTCTGTGCTGGACCATGGATCTGTCCAGGTGTCTCAGACCTGTCCAGGTGTCTCTGTACTGGACCACAGATCTGTCCAGGTGTCTCTGTGCTGGACCACGGATCTGTCCAGGTGTCTCTGTGCTGGACCATGGATCTGTCCAGGTGTCTCAGACCTGTCCAGGTGTCTCTGTACTGGACCACAGACGTGTCCAGCTGTCTCCGTACTGGACCACGGATCTGTCCAGGAGTCTCTGTACTGGACCACGGATCTGTCCAGGTGTCTCTGTGCTGGACCACGGATCTGTCCAGGTG